CGCCGGGGAGGGCCTGGGGGCCGCGGCGGGGCCCGCCGGGCCGGGGGCTGGCGGGCGGCGTTCGCCCCGGTGCGCTTGTGCGGGGCGGGCCCCGAGCCCCCGCTGCTTGCGGCCTCTGCTCGTCCCTTTTCCTAAAGCAGGGGAGGGGGCCTCTTGCCGGGGGGTGTTTTCTGCGGTTTGTGTCGTTACCGGGTAACCCGAGGTTTCCGCATCAGAAGCTTGACTTGGGAATAAATCGCCTCCCTCTTGTTTATAAAATCTCGTTCCCTCCACCCTCGGCCGTAGTGTTATCGCCGCTGCATTTACGCAGTGACGTTAATTTTTTTCACTTTGGAAGACCGTCAGATAAAGCAGCACAGGCTGCTATAGGGAAATCGTTGCTGCGGTACGGCCCTCGGGTTTTTCATCTGCTGCATTCTTAACCCTCCTGGCAGCTCTGTTATTAGCTTCCAGGATAAGACTGAATGCCAGAGAAAACTGTTGATTAATCCAAAATGCAGAGCTCTCTTCCCGTGGCTCTTCATTATTTCACGTCTTCAACATCTATTTAAATATCTTAATAATTAGTGAAGGTCTTACATAAAACTCTCTAAATGTGAGTAATCAAGGTACTCAAATTCACCCGAGGTACTCAAATTAATCACGAGAAATAAGCTGATATTTGTTGTGCTGGGTTGTTTCTATCATGGGAATATATATATAGTGTTCCTTTGATAACTAATCTGAAGGTAAGAAATTACCATTAAGGTAAACTTTCCCAGCAAGTAAACATAACATGGTCAGCAGTTTTGTGGATGGAAGAGTCAATAACTAGATAGATGGGTTAAAAATTAATATTTACCTGGTGATGTTTAAAAGTAACTTAAATGCTTTGATTCTGCCTTAATGGATTCAATTTTTTGAGTGACCAGTGTTGATGCTTAATGGTGTATTCATTCTGCTTTCTGTAAGCTCTTCCACAGCAAATCATGTCTTTTGAATACTTCATCTCCAGGCCCTTGGTCATGTATGTAAGATCTTAGATACATACTTCTTGTGTATCTTCTGAGTACCTTTTGCCCTGCAGTGCAAGTCACTCATAGGGAATTTTTAGTATAGTAAACTGGTATGTGCTTGTCTCGCAGAAGCAAACCTGATTTTTGGCTGTAGAATCAGCCATGTTCTTTTCATGATGTTAAATATGTAGTAAAGAAAATACTGGGTTACATAAGATTTTTGCAGAAGGACTGAACATGATTTTTGCATCCCATTGTTTTCATTGTCTGACCTTCTCTCCTGTGATGCTCTTAAGGTCAGCTTGCTGTGGTTAAGAATTAACGTTTTCTTTAAAGTGGAAGAAAATCCATTGTGCTCTGATAGGGAACGGCTGTTGGCATTTGGAGGACATCACTGTCTGACTTACAATCCTTGGACATGATACCCTGGACTGCTCTTAGTAGTAAGGCTTTAGATAATATTAAGGAAATTTTTTTATTTTTTTTTTAGTAGTGTAACTGATTCTATAATACGGCTGCTTCTGTAGTGATGCCAGTGATTTGATTATTACAGCATTTTTACTGCTGGAGAGTAAGGCTTGGGCTGTAAAATATTTCACCAAAGAAGGTCCAATGCAGCAGCCAGTTGCAGTTCTTCAGATGAAGATACACTGTTTCTTGGGCAACAGTGGGGGTATGTGATGAAAAACTTGTAGAAATCACCTTTACAGAAGATATTTTCCACTAACATTTAAGGATAAGATTGTTTTTCAGACTCCATGCTGCAATATCACCAAAATTTGGGAAGGACAGGAGATCCAATTGTCCAATCCAAGGATTGCCTGTTACATTTGGTCAAGCACATGCTGACAAATGAAGAAGCTTTTTTTTAATTTTTTTTTAATGTCATCCCAGTTACATTGTACATCTCTTTGGGTTGTGTTAGGAGACCAAAGTTTACAATGCAAAGGCCCATCATAAAAACAAGGTGGCCAGATTCAGGTTTCAGGAAGAAAAAAAGTTGTGATTTCCTGGGAGACTTGAAGAACTGCTGGTCTTTGGTTCTCCAGATGTCTTGATTTTCTTTATTTAGCAGGTTTTGTGGTTTTGTTTTTTTTTAAGGTTTTGGTGTTGCTAGTTTGGGGACACGTGCATATTTAATCTTGGGACCAAAAGATAGCAGAGCTATGAGCATCTGGAGCTACTTAGGTTCCACAGCTATATTTTAAGATATATATATTTTTTCTATTCATGTTCTTGACTGTATAAACCAGGACTGCTCTGTGTGTAAGTACAGACACTGATCTCTTCCTTCAGAGACAGCCAGATTTTCTGCCCGGGCAGCTGGGTGAGAGGAGAGCAGTAGGTAGACTTCACCCATGGGACCTGAGGATGCAAATGGCTTTTTGGTCATTCTGCTCCTTGGTGGGACTGGCTGTGAAGCTGCTGGGGCAACTCAGGGATTTTTTGCAAGCCATGCCAGCCTGTCAGGTTATCCATTGGTTCACATTTGAAACTTGCTGCCCATGTACAAGAGCTGTGCCTGAAGGACCTGCAAGTCACGTGCAGTTTGAGAGCTGCAGTTTAGCTCTCTGTCTTGGATGGATGCACATGCATTTCTGTGTTAATTAAGATTCCTTCTGTGAAAGATTACCCTTCCCCTTTTATAAATGTGATGTCTTTAGAAAGGAGGGAAGTTTTACATTTTCTCGGAGGTCCCCGAAGGAAAACAAAATATTTTTTTGTTTGTTTTGTTTAGGTTTGATTTTTTGGTCCCTCCCCAAGCCATTGCTTTTTGCTTGTTACATCACAAATGTAACTTTTGGGTATTGTTGCAAAGATATTTTAAAACTAGTGGTACCAACCACTATGGGAAGAATTCGTAAATATCCTTTAGAGCTATTTGTTTTTTGTAATTGTTTTAGCTAGTGGACTTTTGAAGTAAAACTGTAAAAAACATATTAAGAAGAGGAAGAAAAATTGCACAGTAATCAGACTTGAAAGGTTCTGTAGATCAAGTATTTGGTTTTAAAATTTTGGTGATTCTTCACATTCCCTTACTATTTTCAGGTTAAAAGTATATGATTTCGTATGTGTGTGATCAGTGGTCAAAAGCTTCTATTAAATAGTTACAGTTACCAGCATGATTTTTTTTTTCTTTATCTCTGAATGATTAACCTAGTAATACCTGTTGTCATATTTTAGGAGATGTCAGGGTCACACCAAGAAAACATAATTTTCTCTTGAAAACAATGTACAAATGTTAAGCTCTTGCTCTTTGTACTTTTCATTGATGTTTTCAGTGAATGCACTACAGTTGCAATGTGGCTTGTTTTGACAGTGAAACATTTCAGATACAATTCCCCCCCACACACATTTTTATTTAATCTTCATGATTTTATGAATTAGCAAAACTGGTTTGCATAGTAGTGCAAAGTGTAAAGTTTTGTGCAAATTAATGCTTCAGAAAACTTGAAATGAGCTAATTGAAGGGACCGACTTTCAAGAGATGAATTCTTCAATATTGGAAACAACCATAATGATAAAATGATACTATGTTATATTTCTGTATGACACATTCTTCTGTATATGATGTTGTAAAATAACGTACACAGGTCAATAGGTTGTAGAAGTTCAGGTGCTGCGGG